GATTCGCCGAGCGGAAGCCGTACCCGCCATGTGAGCAGCTTCCAATTACTGCTTCTGTGCCTCGTCGAGGCGATTGGTAATAATATCGGGGGGAGGGGCGTCTGCAGGATTTGAGCTGGGCTCAAGTCGCGCCGTTGGTGCACTTCATTTCCCTTGTTATCCCATGCTGGGAAAGGAGTGTTAGTCTCGTAGTCGACCTTCTCTAACTCGTCGACGAGAAAATCCGTTGCCCGGGGCGAGCGCGGTGAGGGCTTGGGATGTGCTTTTCGTGAAGCCGTGGACGTACTGTCCAGAGATGCACCCTGTGCAGAAGAAGAAAGGCTATGCCCGCGGGCGCCCTCACTACCAGCAAGGCTCGGAGTTTTGCGTGTCGTAGACACAGTGCTCGTAGAGCGAAGAAGGTTTAATGTTGTTCTTATGAACGTGAAGGTGTCTAAGACACGCGAGCCTCGTATGAGGCAACCTTAAAATGTGAATAGAGAATATCCACAATTATATTGGGGATAGTTCAATGGGGTTACTCGTGCCTTTGTGAGAAGGGGCGGGTCGCACTTGTGCATTACTCAGTAAGTATTATAACACAGTGGTGTGGCAACACCGAAACAAGAAGCCACCACGTGGCAGCTTGTCAATAGTAATGCATATAACTATATTAATTAGGTCTTGCTATATTATTCAGGTAAATCTATATTAATTTGGAAAACCTAGAGTTTAGATATAGGCGGCTCTGCCGCAACTAAATCAATTAAATGCAGATTTGTTACTAAACAGAAGTGTTCGTTTGTCTTGGTAGGGCTTTAGTACTTAGAAGTATCGGATTACGATTCGATACACTTGCACTGGTTCTCGAAAAAAACGAAAGGTCGTTTGTTTTTAAACTTTAGCTTAGCTTAATCTGAGCAAAGAGCTATGGCAGCCCTGATGCAGGCGCTGTAAATATCCCGTCGGAAAACCGCTCATTGAGCTCGATGTATTTTAAGATGATATCTATAAGTCATTACACGGCGGTCATTTTGCCAAGATAGTTCTATGGTATCGGAGGAAAAGCTCAACTCCTCCTTCTCCGTCATTGCCGTTATTGACGATACTGAATGAAATGAGCGGGACGGCTATCTTCTATCATCCATTTTATCTGTTAAAGGAGTATGGCGACATGTTGACGGGAACCACCATGTTGTTGACCCCGGATCGGATACTTCTTCATTAAATTGACCATTTTATCTCATCACATCGTTCAAAGACAATGACAACTCGATTATCCTTCACATTCGAGGAAAAGAACAACCCAGGTTGGCTCGATGTTGTGATAGATGGATTTACTGTGTCACCCAGCTATAACCCTTCGCGTGTCACGAAGATGACGTTGCGCACGGACGACTTATAAATGAAAGCACACAAGCCACACAATCTTTGTTGTATTGCAAACAGCTCTGTAGAGCACGTTTCTTGGGCTCTCAAATTGCACTATCGAAATGTCTGGTCGCACGTTTGCAGCGTTAGAATACAAAACTATGGTGTGCTTGCTCTATGAGAGCACTGTCCCACGTGGAATTCAACGTGTGGTGAACGGACCTAAAATACATAATACTGTACGAGTCACATGATACTTTTTAAAAGATTTAAAAATGAAATTCATGCTTGCGGACGACAAACTTGGCCGACGGCGCCTACGATTATGGTGTGTAATTTTTTAAAATTGCGGATACTTCCCACAAGTGCACACATATGTGTTAGACCACTTAGACATGTTGGTTCCCAGTACATTTGTCTTCTCGCTTATGGGCGCGCACGGTAACCGACATTGTAATTTTTGTGTACCGTCTGGGCAAAAGTGTTTAGCTTGCAGACCTTATTTTTCTGGCGCGGAAACAGCTAAGCTGCCCATCGACTGCATTTAAACCACTAGGCTGTTTTAACAATCTTAGAAAGGGTCTGTGCTTCAGCGGCGGCCGGTGATACAATTCATTTGCATCGATCTAACGCGAGATCTGGGAGTCAAAGCCGGGTGCGCGTTGACCACTTTGCAGTTACGGTCACCTTAACCCTTTCTCCCCTAAGTACACAAACCCAAATCAGCGTGGAAGTCCAGCTGCGCTCGCACCAACGCTATTGTGTAAGACCGCTATACGTTTTAGTGTCGATTGTGCCCGACGATGCATGGGTTTTGTGAGACGAGCGGCTGTCTCATACAGTAGATGCAGCGGGGCTGCCGTAGCTTTGCGCTTGAGGAAGCGTCTTTAGGTCACCGACCTTTTGTTCTTTACAAGAACCAAGTACTAGCGTTGCGGATCACAATCCGCTGTCTCTAAAGTACTTTAAGCCTTACCAAGGAAACAAAAACTTCTGTTTAGAATCGCCAATGTTTTTTTTTCCTAATGTTAATATTTTAGATTTTCCTAAATATACTAAATATATATAGTAAAATCTAAATACATCAGTAACTACTGGCTACCTAGTCCCGCCCCGTATTCTTGTTTCACATTATGCACATCTCGTGTAACCCCGTTACACCCTACCCCATTAAAATTGAGAGCATTTACAGTTCCAGTCAATTATTGCCTCAACGAGGCTCGCGTGTCCGTTAGACACTGCAACTCCATTTGTTG